TATTATACACATTAACCAACAACTCAATATAATTAATAATACACACACATGTATCAGTACATTACTTAAGGAGGATACTACAATAGGTCAGTGTAACGTCAATTTTTAATCAAATGTGTGGGCGGTTTGACCTTTAGACTCATGCTTTATGCTAGAGTTGAACTAAATTCTATTCCCCAGCATTAACATATAGACCTAGTGTAATATAGTAACCAATGATTAGACACTAACCACACACTAACTGCTCCTATCCTATACATATACATGTACATGTACACCTGCTAATATTGGCGGAATATAATATACAGGTGTATTGTGTTATTTATTTATAATATTGTTGGTTGTTATATTGGTACCATTTGGTGGTGTATAGTAGTCATTAACAGGGGCGTAGCCAGGGGGGGGGCAAGGGGGGCAATTGCCCCCCCCTTTTTTAAAACTAAAATATTGAAAATAATCAAATAATAAGCTGCTTTTGGAAGGAAAGGAAAAGGCCAAAGCAGTCTTTCTATGATGCCATTATAAGTATTCAAAAAAGGTATTCAACGTTGCCTCGTCAATCGGTCAATCGGTCGTTGATCGGTCAAGAAGTCCGCCATGTTGAAAAATAGGTGTGACCACGCCCCAAAAGGGCGTGGTCTCGCAAAATTTCGCGCGCCATCCAGCTTGCCCCCTCTTTCTAAAAATCCTGGCTACGCCACTGATTAAGTATTGTCAGTATAGACCAGTAATACTACACTACCAGTACTATCAGTTATACAGTATCACCATATCTCTCTTCTCTCACCCTCTCCCTCCCTCCCTCTCCTCCTATATTACCTTATCCCAGTTAGGTCTACCAGTCTGTGTCCTGGTCTTCAGTCCAGTTATAAGATCAATGTTCTTTTCTTTGTGTATCAGATCAAGAGCCATTTGTAGTCCTAATGCTTTCACATCAGTCCTTTGTAAAGCTGATGTGATGTACATGTGCATATCAAGGAACCGATCCATTAGTGTTCCATATTCATTCTGTTCCATTTCCAGTTCATTCAGTAGCTCCATGAACCACTCAAAGTGTCTCTGGTCACGATTGATCCAAATGAAATCAACCTAGCAATGATTATTAATAATTATCATTATTCAGTTTTAAAATGATCATAACTTGAAAAGTTTTATTCGGAATTAGCTCAAACTTTCTACACAGCATAAGGGCATCAATATGTATCTGAAAATGTAATAAAAATTTGGTGTAATTTCGGGGCCATTT